GCTCTCACGCTCCGCTCCCGCAGGTGCTGGGCTGGAGGGCGGCGGCCGCCGCCGCCTGGTCCGTGCTGCTGCTGCCCTTGTGCACCGCCGCCTTCGTGGCGCTCAGCGCCGTGCAGCCCTTCCACCCGCTGCGATGGATCTCCGGTAGGCGCCGCCGCTCGGGGCCGCGGGAGCCGCCCGCTCCCAGCCGGGCCCTTCCCGCTCGCTGCTTGGGAGCGCCCCCGTTAGGGACCCGTGTGCGTTTTCAGCCAGCCTTTGCCATGGACGTTTCTGGGTTGCCTGTAACTATAAAACCCTGACTTTCCATAAGTAGACGTTACTCTTGCAAGCTGGTGTAGATAGATTCTTCAGAGAAAAATCTGGCTGCGTGACTTAGCTCAATGTTTGGAAACGCTTCCCCCCTTTTCACCCTGGKTAGCTGCTGTTTTCATGAAGTGCCAAAGGCTCCTCTAGCTTCCGTGCATGGATCATAAATGAAACTGCAGAAGTAGCCCAAGCTTTCTCTTCAGTGTTGTTGCATATAGCACAGAAAACAGGTGTTTTAATAGAAACTTGATAGCTGGAATTGTTTAGCTGCCCAGGGCAGAGAGAATTGATTTCTTTTTCCCACTGAAAGTTTGAAACACAGAAAGACAACCAAACAGCCAAACCAAAACAATTCGTTCTGTAAAAGGTTCCTTATCTTTTCAGTGTGTTTGGCTGAAGCTTTTATCAAATGTCAGGAAACTGTGTTAGTTCAGCTATTGTTTTAAAAACAAAAAGAGAAATAACTTTCAATTTGAGCTACAGAATTGTTCTCGTTCCCTTATGATCAACTCAGTTATAGAGTATTTTCTGTGAAATGTAAATCTGCTTTCAACCAGTAGTATTGTGCAGCTGGGCTGATCTGGGGTGGATTAATTAAGAGTTCTTYGAACATTACTTTCCATTAGTGGTTTATTGCTGACTCCTTAAATGTTGTTCTCCCATATTTGGTATCTGTGTAATGTTCTTATAATCTTGTGATATTGTTTTCTCTTTATTTTTAGATTCWTTCAATGATTTATATACTTCCTACGTCATCTTTTGTATCCTTTTGATGTCTGTGGTGATACTAGTAATAAGTATTTTCAACGTTGAATTTTATGCAGGTGGGATATGTRAATCACTGGAGTGTGGCTCTGCTACCTGAATTAAACAGGGTGACTGTTCAGATTTATGTCTGATGTACCTAACATTCTGCATTGTTTATATTAATTAAAAATAAATTTATCAAAGCTTCAAAGATTTATTTTTTTATATGTTTTTAATTTACTTTTTTTTAAGCAAAGGTGAACCTTTTGTCACAGCAGCAATGAGTAAATACAAAGAGGGGACTGTGACTCTAGTGCATTTGTTTGTGTTGGAAGATAGCGATTTTGAAAGGAGAGAAAGTGCCAGATTCCTCAAGAGTGTCTTGAGAATCTTTAGCTGAGTTGCTTTATTGKTTTCTTTATCATCTACAGACTCCCTTCACCTGTAAAAGCTCCTTTGGTACCAATGTCAGCTCTGTAAAATGAAGCATCTCAGGTGCAGCAAATGGAAATTCACTTTGAGCTTTTATTTGCAGTTGTGCCATCAATACCATGCTCTCGATTAGCACTGATAGGAAAAATTATTCACCCCCAGCAAGTTATGCATTCAGTTGTTCATGCCGTAATGGGAATGCTGGTTGCTTGGTGTGCTGCAGTTATGACAAAAGGGAAGTTCCAGTTCCTTGCTGTGCCCTGCACATCTTCAGACAGGTAATTACTTGTGGGCATTAAAAGAGAATTATGCAAAGATCTTTTATTGTAAAATACTTCTTTGAAGAATCAGATTTGATTGCTAAGAAAAATGAGTTAATATCCTTTGCTAAAGGATAGGAAATACCCTAATTTTTATAGATTTCACAATGCATTATAGAAGTACTGGGTCAGAAACTCAGAAAAACTGAATTGCTGTGATTGTTGATGAAAGCTGAATGATGAAAGTTTAGTTGTCCTTGAACTAGATCTTGGACTTACGGTCAACATGGCATATTTGAAAAATCCTGGAGACACCCTCATGCATGAATTACAAAATAGATGCAGAGATTCACACTTTTTGGGTGAAAAAAAACAAAACAAAAACCCTATCATAGATACTACTTAGGATAGTAAAAACAAATTTGTGATTAAACAAGGCTAGAATAACTGTGTTTTCCTTTTATTTTAGCCGAGATGATGCTGTTCCTCAGATATGTCTGAATGAATACCACCTCTTTTTCCTGCTATCTGGAGCTTTCATGGGATACAGTTACAGTCTCTTGTACCTTATCAACAATATGAATTATTTGCCATTTCCAATTATACAGGTATGAAATTTTAAAACCTTCAAAAAATAAATTGCCTAAACAGTGAACAAAAACTCCTTTATTATTTATGTTTTAGAATATGGCAGTAGCAACTCTCCGTTGACGAGCTTTCGCTAATTGATGAAGTGTACATGTAGTTAGCTTCAAATGCCAGTAGTTTTCATCTTCCTCTTCCTATCATGCCCCTTCAAATAAGCCCCGAAATTGAGGACGGCAGGGTTATTCAGCCGCGCGCTGCTTTTAGAAGGATTAGGATCAGCTCACACTTGTTTAAATTTTATGTATATTTTAATCWAACATCTGAGTCTAAACAAAATCCAGTGGATTAAATGCTCCCCTCTTGGTTTCTGTTTCTTTTGCATTAGATAACATTTTTATAAACTGGGAAACAAACCATAAGTCAGTTGTCCCTGACCATGCTGATAAAAGGAAGAAGGATGAAAACTAGGGATGGTTATAACATGAAAGAAATAGGCTGGAAGAATAAGTACTATTTTTAACACCTGGAATTACCTTAAATTAATCTTTTAAATTAATCTAAACTGCTTTATCCTTTCTTATCATTTRCAATTATATATTCTGAATACAGAATGTTAAACTATTTTATTTGCTTGTTTCTAGCAATACAAGTACTTACGTTTCAGACGATCTTTGCCTCTTCTTATTAAACACAGTTGTGTGGAATCGCTCTATTTGATTAGGAACTTCTCTGTCACGTACTACTTTTTTGGTAAGGATTCCTAATGYCACTATTACTTCTACTGACACTGTTACTGTGCTACTGTTACTGACATTTGAGCACGTTTATACTATTTCTCATTTTTCCAATAACTTGCTCAAAACATACAGGCTTGTTTAAAAAGTAAGCAGAGCTAACACTTCTCTCAGATAGTGATAAAAAGCACAGAGCTTGAATGTGAGAGCATAGTGTAGTTCAAAAGCTTTATTTTAGTCTGTGATTGTATTTTTTTTCCTTTAAATATTCTCTGTATTATTGTAAYTCTATATATGTTAAAATATGCTAAAATTAGTTCCATTTTATTTACTTTATGTGATAAGCAATATAGAACACATCACACTTAACTTTCCATTAATCTGTTTTTTTTTYTTTTTTTTTTTTTTTTAAAAAAAAACCCACAAAACCTTTGCTGGTGCCTAAGTTGTGCTGAAAAAAAAATTACCATTAAACTTTGTCARTGAATAAATACAAATAGCTCGAATGTGTTATAAAATGAAACAAAATTTGGAATAGGATCAACATCTTTTACAGTATAGTTGCTGGCCTGAAGTCTTCCTTCATTCTTTTGTTTGAGTCTCTAAAGAAAACAAAAGGATGAATTGTTCTCTGTTACACGCATGTGAAAAGCCAGTCCTTGTGTCTATATGTTTATTCTACTTCTGACTTCTTTCTGGCCCAAGATGTTTGTGTTGGCTCTGTCATACTTGTTTACAGTGTTTCTGTTTGGGCCCCTAGGTTATATCCCAAGGGCGTGGATAAGCACCACAATGGATCTTCATATAGACAGGTGGGCAGTATATTGTGCTGAAAACTTGCAGGACGGTCGCTAGCAGCTTTCTCTGCTAAAGAAGATTTAGTGACTTATTCTGGTTTAGTGACTTATTTTGGGTGTGTCATAGGATCTATGGCATTCTATGGCATTTTTGTAATGTTTTAAAGTATTTTTCCAAAGAAATCAGATAAGAAAAACACATCTCTATTCTTTAAATTGTTACTGTCCTAACAGCTTACTGTCGGCATCGCCCATAATAAAAACACATTGTCTTGCTTTATCTGCAGTAAATTGCATCCTCTTGATTCTCTGAGTGGCTTATTGGATCTCTCCTTGCTCTACCATGCCTGGTTATCRGGTGTATTTCTTCTGATGACCTGGTACATTGCATGGTTACTCTTCAGAATTTATGCTACAGAGGTCAGTACTTGATGACAATGCTAAAGGCCTGTCAGCAGTGTTGCAGAGAGAACATTTTCTTTTCAAGTGTGGTTTTACTGGAAATTAGCTTAATTATAAATTCCTTGATTTTGTAAGAGCAGTATCTGAGTGGTTAAGAGAGTCCTAAGGAATAAATGACTTTGCTTTTGTTTCTCCCTAAATCAAGCAAGCTTGTGCTGCTGTCAAAATTAACATGTTTGCAGCAATGCCTTATTCCCACCTTTTCTTCCTACTCCTTTACCTCTGTTTCCTGCTCCTTTATCTCTGTTTCCATGTCCCTCTTTTCCTGGTCTTATGACTGATACTGAGCCCAGGCAGATGCTCCTGGGGCCACCCTAACAGAGAACTTTGTGTAACTTGGAGTCAGCACAAAGCCCATTTAAATATATTCTTGCTTTAGAATAAAGCTGAGACCGTGACTTAAGAAGATGAAATCTTGCATACAAAGAATTAGAGAAGGCTCTGACTTTTTGACTAATCCAGGTATACTCTTACCARAATACAGAGCACAGAAGTTGTTACAGGCTAGGAATTACAGGCTAGAATATTGTAAGATGAGATATCTAGGCACATGTTTTTGCAGTTGTTAATCATTCATCTGACAGATATCATCTTCAACAATATTCTGTGATTCTGKGATCTTGGGTTTGGTCTTTCATTATTTTTTCTGAGGTTTTGCTCTGTGTAACACCGCTTCTGATGGTTTCTATTTAGACGCATCATTTTCCTGTCCAGCCAACTTTTGCTGAGGAGACGGACCAGTGTCTACCTAAAATTTTAAACAGCAACCCTCCCCTCATTATAAAGGTAATGGCATCACCAGCATGATCCCAGCTGCATGTGTACTGACCTGTCYTTTCTAAAGCCTGTAATCAAATCTTCTGTTCAACAGCTACTTTAGGGTGGGTGTTCTTCTAAAAAGCTCGTCAAATCAGTCAACAAAGGAGTAGCTCTTAAGGGTGAAAACTTGTTTGGTACTGACATCTGCTGGTGCTTTCTGAGCTCTGCTACTCTGAAGGTGAAGAGACTCATTTAGTTAGAAGCAAAAGGCATTTGTCTGCAAGTGAAGTATTCTAGTGTTCTAACACTAAAACAAAATTATTAGTGAGATTAATTAGTGAGATTTTTTTTAAAATTTTGGGTCTCTGAACTGTTAATTTGTCAAATCTTTGTATACTCAACTCTTCGCTACATGTTTTTTTTACACACGTTAACTTCCTTGAGGTTAGCTATTTCYATATGAAATTATTATCCTTTCTGCCTCTCCTTAAATACAATACTAGAAAAGCTATTTAAAATCTGTAAGTAAAGGAGAGTAATTTTGGTCCTGACTATGGTAAATTTTAGCAGGATTTATTGATAYAATAATTAAAAATGTGAGAACTCCTACAGCAAGGAGTATTGCATAAAGAAAGATGAGAATATTCTGTTGCACATGTGCAAGTTCCACATCTAATCATTAAAGAAGTCTCTGAGAAGATCAGAAATGCAATAAGCTACAAGTTAAATACCCTTTTAAGGCTTGCTGCATTACCAAAGTGTGGTTGGGGAAGACTAAGGACTTTCTCTAGCACAGCTAAAGATGCAGAAAGCCTATTTTTTTTTTTTTTTTAATCTCAGAGTTGTCTTGTAGTTGCAAGGTGTGGGGAAATGTGGTTGTTTTGGGATTGCCTTATTCACTCCTTCAAGCAAGACAAGCTGTTGTTCTCCTTAAGCGAAAGGCACATTTAATACTGTAGGACAGACTATGCACTTGAGCCCTGGCTTGCATAAAGAGTTACTACCTTTTTTTTTTTTTTTTTTTTTTTTGAACACTGAAATGCCAGTAAAGTTTTCTGTGAAACTCTTAGCTGAGCACCCCACCCAAAGTGATTCTAGAGATATGTGCAATCCTTCGCTTCCTTTCTTTTCTCTGGCATGGCACTGTGGTTTCTGTATGAACTCATTCTTTCAGGACTGCATTTGTAAAGATAGCTCATTTTGATGAAGAACCGTTGGATCTTTGAATGAACTAAAACTTTTCCTTTCTTTGTAGTTTTTAGCCTTGCAAGACTTGATGTTACTTTCCCAGTACTCTCCCATTCGCCGCCAGGAAGTCTTTAGTCTTAGTCAGCCAGGTAATTATAAACTGTTCCGTATTGATTCCCTTTTTCAAAAGTGTTCATCAAATATTTTTATAAGTTATAATCATGAGACATGCTGTGTTAGCCAGGAGACCTTATAAATGAAAGTACTCTTTCGATGTTTTTTTTTCCAAAAGGATATTTAATTATCTGTATTGATATTGCTTAATCCACTAAGGAAAGTGGTGCCCGTTGATTCACTTGCATGACAGCCCTGAGGAAGAGGAGATCTCGAGGAGGTCTCCAGTACGTGGCTCTTGAACATCACAAGTCAAATAGTCCAAACAGAATGATCTRGCAGATGTGCATTAAAGCCTCATGTTCAGATGTGGCCGAGATATGAAATAAAGGATTAATTTATGTCACTGGAGCAGCAGTGGTGACATAAGCAAACAATGGTATGATTTCAGTTAGTATACAGTCTCTTGCCATATTCAAAGATATGACAGATAAAGTTGGTTGAAACTGCCTAGAGGCCTTGAGGAAACTTTTGTTGCACTTCATCATGTATTTCAGTGTTCTTGCTACTTCCAAGTTGTTTACAATCACAACTGATATAATTTCTGCTCGTTGTGGTTATTTGGTAGACTTCAAGTCTGGACTGAACTGCCTATTTTTCCTGCTTGTTTAGTGGGTTTCACTGAAGTCTGAGTCCCTGGAAAATAGACCTTGTCCATGTTTTTATCTTTCTCAGAGTATTTAACTAAACAGTTACAGTAGAAATGCACTATGGTATTTTAATAATGGAAAGGGACTATAACTTTTCAAGTTTATGCTGGAAACACTGTCCGAATAGCCACAACAATGCACATGTGCAAGTTCCACATCTAATCATTAAAGAAGTCTCTGAGAAGATCAGAAATGGTTATCAGAAACCAATGGATCTTGGTTAAACATGTATTTCCTACTGCATTTCATGTCGTTTGTGTGTATACTGCTAGGTGGGCACCCGCACAACTGGACTGCAATATCACGGGAGTGTTTAAGTCTTCTGAGTGATCTGACCCAGAGGCTGATCCTGCAGCAGGAGGCTGCAGCAGCAAATGGGAGAGCAAAGCAGCCAGGAGAACTGAAAAYAGCTCCACAGACTCCAGGTAAAGCTTGAAAATACCACTAGATTTTATAGGTGCATTAGTCGCAGTTAAGTTGCATGGAGAAATGGATTGCAGGTTTTCCTTTAACTAAATGTATATAGTTTTAAAAGTGCTACTCCCCACAACCATTGCTTCTTTTTAAATGCTCTTGTTGTACAAACACTAAAATAGGAAGCAATAAACTTGGAAAGAGTGTTTTTCAGTTTGTTTACTGTGCGTGATGTTTTGTTCAGTACAGTATTTTTTTTCACATTTGCATGAATTAGAAAGTCTAGTAATTATATTTTTAGTAAGTAGTAGAATCTGATGCAGGGAGAGCTGAAATCTTGCCAGGAGACATTTTGTAATTTGCATAGCTGCTCTTATGATTAGTTTAAACCGTTAAATTTGGTTTTTGCTTGTTTTATTTGTGTGATTCACCCCGTATTGCTGTAGAATCAGGAAAGCCAGGCTGGCTCTCAAGCCATGTGCAGCCTCCAAGCAGTTCAGGAGTTTCTCCTGCCGGACTTGTGCCTCCTGACGGGCGGCAGAGCTGGACTGGTTCAAGGGCTGCCAAGCACTGAACCCCTTAGCAGCCACTGCCTAGGACACAAGTGAGCTCCTGCCTCGGGACAAGGGGACTGCTGGAAAGTGAATTGCTCCTTKTGCTTTGCTCCCTGTGTTCTCTTGGATTTTGTGAATCACCTGAGGCTTTTGCTAACAAGTAGGAGAGTGTCATTTCCTATGGAGGGACTCTGCAGGTAGTTTGCTTTCTAATGCTATTCCTAGAAGCATATTTTATATAAGTGTATATATATGAGAGCGTATTCGTGCCAGTTATTTAAAATAATCTACAGATATCCTTCTTATCTTTTACTGGCTTTAGAACATGAGCATGAAATTTAGAGACAAGTGTTGTAAAGACCACAGTGGAAATGATTTCTAAAAACTCTGAGAATGCAGAAGTTGCTGAAATAGCAATAAAATAATAAATTTGTCTCTGTGTCCTTTGTCGTTAGGAACCATTGCAACAGAAGACGTGTCCTTCCAGTTGCAGAAGTCTAATGTCATTCCCAGGGCCCCGATGCCTTCCCTGGTTAAATCATCCCTGTTGCCTTTAAAGACGTCACCTGGCTCTGATGTTGGTACACCTTTCAGTTCACCTGTTTTAAATTCCAAGGTGGGAATTCTGGATTTAAACTCTCCTTGGCATGGATCAGTCCAAAGTCCTCACGTTATGAGAAGAGGACCAAAGTTGTGGACATCAAATTCAGGTAGAGATTTTTGCAGCTGTGCTTAGCCATGCTTTAGCCATGTARTCATTAGCATGGTAGATGTGTTAATAGAGTGACCACAACCAGTTTCTGGAGGTGTTTTATTTCTCTTGTAGATCTGCAAATGAATGGTTCTCGCCAAGAATCCGTCCCGGTGCTCTCGGTGAGAGCTGGCAGTGAGGCAGCACAGCCCAGCTTTATTTACACCTGGCTCCAGAACAAGCAAGAACAGGTAGAGTAAAAGTCGCAGTGCGGATGGGTTAGAGCCAGTGCAGCTTAGGTGTTCTTTCTTCTTGAAAGAACTTTGATTCTGTTGAATTAATACTTCCTTCTCCAATTAGCTTGCGTAACTTAGGAACMACCCACCAGACGCACACTCTTTCTCCGGTTTCTTGATCTGCTTCTTGTGATATGATGTTAGAGTTGAGGAGAGGCAATTATGCATATACTCTAAGTTAAATAAAGGCAACATTTTTAATTGTCTGTTTTGCTTCTTTCCAGATAAAAAACTTCTTATCAAAACGAGTACTGATAATGTATTTCTTCAGCAAGGTAATTCTGGTCTTAGGCTTTGTGGCTGTATGTGGCCCATGACTGCGTGAGCCTATRTGGTTTCTGCTGTGACATTGTATACCTTTTTATATGTAGTAGTAACAGTTCTGAAACCTCTGCCTTATTCTAAGGTTTTACAGCATTTCCCTCAGACTCCAAAACTTTATACTTAGTGTGAGTTTCAGTGAGCAGCAGTAGTATCCCATAGATTCATTAAGAAGTGATTCTAGGATCATRTCCTAGAAAAACATAGCTAAGAACTTCAATTCAATTGTCTTCCTATGCTGTTTATTAGATGAAGTGGACTTTTAAGTACAATTAGAAATCAGTTTTTGTCATCTACTGAGAGGAATTCTTTGTGGTTTTCCTCCATGGGTGTAGTAGCAGACAGGATATTGGGAATTTCTCCTTATGAGATATTTATACTAATGTTACTATTACCTTTCAGGTGAACTTGAACTCTTAAACTTGCTTAATATTTACACAGAGAAAAAAAACGGAGTAGTTCTCTTACAATAGAGTGCTAGCTCAGTTAACAGAAATTTTCCCTCCTACCGTAGTGTTTTATTTGTTGTTGTTGTTTTTGTTTTTTTGGTAGATTTAAATGTTTTCTGCAAGTGAGGATCATGTTTTTACATATAGGTCTTTTCTGTGCATGTAAGAATGATTTGTACTTAGATGTGTAGCCGTGTTTTCCARTCAATTGTAGACTGGATGTTGAGTAAAGCAGCAAGATGATGAAACCAGCCTGGGGAAATTACCTAGTCTGTGTAGTCCTTAGAGAGTAATTAGCTAAACGATACACACTCAATTTGGGAAATCCCAGTTATAGCTTTGCAGTCCATTCCTGTTCAGAGGGAATTTTTGTTTCTTGAAAGACTAGAACTTTCTGTGTATTTTTCAAGATCTACCATCCTTGCTGGCCTTTTCTAAGGGGAGAGATGTGATCTTGTTTTATGTGTGTTGCTTTSAAACCTGTAATTCTGGTGCTGTTTAAACCTGAGTGCATTCCAAGTTCTTTGGTTTCTTCTCAGCATCCAGAAGCCTCTATCCAAGCTGTTTTCTCCGATGCCCAAATGCACATCTGGGCGTTAGAAGGTGAGAAGTTTCTGTTCTTGTGTGTTCTGCTTTTACTTCTTGGACTACAGTAACTAAAAGAATTCGGTTACAGACTTGGTGCCCTGAATCTGCTTTGATGCAAAGATATGACTGTAGCTCAGATACACGAATAAAGATCAAAGTCATTTGATTGCCTTGAGATTCTATGCAAAATCTTTTTAATTTGTGTACAATAGAGATTAGGCTACTTGATTTGAAGATTCTTGTATTTATTTGTTTCCTTTGGCTTATCACATGAGTCCATGTATCACTTTTATAGCGTTTTCAGTAAGAAATTTATGATCTTTTACAAAACTTTTTTTTCTGAGTGAAGGTTCTAAAGCCTTTTCCTGCGAATAATAGTTCAGAAAAAAAATGGTAATTTGCTTGGGATTTCAAAATAAAGAGAACCAGCTATATGATACAACGGTGTCAGAGATTATGGGTGTCAACATGCAGATAATTTTAATGGTTCTTGMATTTTAAAAAGAAAACACAAAAGCACTTGAGTAGTAAGTTACTACCACAGCAGTGATAATATGGGGTTGTACTACAGAATTTGGACTTCTTGTTTTTATGTTTTTTGTTTTAAGCTCACGAAGTGAACTTAATTGGAAAGAGGAGGCCTTTTAGCTTTTATTTCACATATTATCAACCTCAAGCTATCGTACATGTTTCAAACCAGGGACTTAATTTACTTGTGAAGCAAGCCAAAGCTGAGGTAACTCATGTGGCTGCAGTAAATCCTGAGGAATTCCACCACACTAGTGAAATCTTCAAGTTAAAATAGGGTCTGTCCAATTTTACAAAGCTTAGGAAGTTAAGAAATAAGTAGAAGAATTCAGTAATTATAGCAACCGTGTATTTTATTTTTTATATTCTAGGTCTGTCTCGTTTGGTAGCCGCCTCATTTACTGAAGACCAATTTGGAGTTGTCCAAACTACACTGCCAGCTATTCTGAACACTTTACTAACTCTTCAGGAGGTAAAAAACATTTATTTTTCCTTACTGAAAAACAAGCTTAGGGAGGAGAAGTCATGTTGATTTTATTTTTTGGCATTTGTTGACCAATTGCAAGATTGAAGTTCTCACCACTGTGAATTGTTTCTGATCTTTAGTTAACCTAAACTACAGATCAACTAATTAACAGATTAAGTAGTGGTAATTAGCTASTTACCCCTTTTTTTTATCATGAAACAGCTGAATAAATTCCTTGCTTTTRTCTGTGAAGGGGAAAAAGGTTCTTAATGGAATGTTTCATTCCAAAAATAAATGGTACTAAGTGCTCCATTAAAAACCTTTTTTAGGGCATATTGCTTAAAATATAGTATTGTAATTGCTTAGTTAGGACTTGAGTTGGCTCTGTGTGTGCAACATGAAACGCTTAGAGACGCTGCAGATCCCAGCAGATAGGTGCAGGATCGGTGCAGTGGTTCTCTCCTACTACTATGGTGTTACACGTTTTCAAACATCAATAATTTGAGCATTTAAAATAAACATTGTTTCCAAGACTTATTCATGTCCTATTGATAGAATCATTTTATACTGCCTTAATGGAGATTCTTGGAAAGAATTTTGAGGTTATTAAAATTCTTCAGTGCAAGTCATCTATTTCAAGAACAGGCACCAGGAAATAAAAGTAAATATTTCTAAAAGGTTAAATTTGTTCTTCTATTGCAGTGTGTTCTGGTTAGCATTTAAGACTCGTTAACATAGAATCTTATTTCACAGAACTTGGTTCTCTCTTCATGTTGGTGGCCAGAACATACAAGGTTAAATTCTGTCCGCAATACCCTTGTGTATACCTTGGTGGAATTTCTGAACTTGTGGTTTCTTTTTTGCTTTATTTGACATAAACATGTTTTATTATGAAGTAATTGAAATGAGCAGAAGAAACCTCTCATTTATGTTTTTCTCTATTAGGTTGTAGACAGACATTTCAAACTGCCTCATGTTTCTAGCAAACCTCCCAGGATTTCGGGAAGTTTGGTGGACACATCCTACAAAACCTTACGATTTGCACTGAGAGCATCTCTGAAAACAGCGCTGTACCGGATAACTACTGTCTTTGGAGAACACTTGAAGTAAGGTCTTTYTTGTAATTGCTCTCTTGCTAAACTTACTTTAAATATTTCTATAGGACCTATGGAAAGGGTCTGCCCAACTCTTTCTTTGGGGCTGAATTGCCATTCAGTTTGCAGTGCTAGATACTTTGTAGATTATTTTTTAATGAAGAATTTTGTAACTTGAGAAAAATCATTTTGACAAGGTAAACAATTGCTTGAGTGTGTTAAATAGTCTGCATTTCTAGGGACAAATGTCTTTTAATAGTAGAAGCTGTTGCACAATTTTAGATGCTGAGAAATGATGAGAAGTGAAAATGAGGATTAAAATTAATTCTTAATAATTCTCTTGGTCTTGGAATTTTCATGAAGCTGGGTTTTCTAAAATTCAGCATCAATGTAACTTGGTTTCTGTGTGTGCCTGGTTGTGACATGAGGCTTTTTTTTTTGGTTTATATATTACATTTAATCTAAATTCTTTTGTGTTTGTTTTTAGTGCAGTACAAGTGTCTACAGAACATAAGAAAAGACTACAGCAATTCTTGGAATACAAAGAATAATTTAGATTTTGATACAGCTACAGCTTGTGTTCAGCACTATTGGTAAGAAGAAAATGGAACTAATGGGTCTTTCTATCTTGGCTGTGTGGAAAGGCTTGTGGAAGTCACAAGTCACAACAAAACCCAGAACTGTACAGAAACTCTTCTGTTTTTTGGATTAGTTTTTTATAATAAATTTTTTTAATTCATTTTGCCTTTTTAAATATTGCTTAGAAATAAAGTCAGTTCTTGTTGTATGCAAGATTGCTCTTGACATTTTCCATGATTGGAGTTCCCCTTCCCCACTTGAAACCTTCTTTTTTTTTCACTTTGTTCTTCGTCTACCATTTCCTGTTAAAGGTGTCAGTAGAGATTTGCATAAATACTTAGTGTGCCCAAGTGTTTCATAAATCCAGCTCATGACACTTTTCGTGCAGATGTCCTTTCCATGCAGTATGTCCTTTAAAAGCAGGAAGCAGATGTCCCTGGAAATCACACATGCTACTCTTCTGTAAGATGAAAATGAATCTGCAGAGTAAGATTTGGGTTCGGGAGGGCTTTGTGAAGACACAACTAGTGACAGTGTTTTATGCAGCTGCTCTTGAATCCTGTCTGCTTGGGTTTTATCTGTAAGGCGACCTTTGAAACTAAGTTCTGATCTACACTGAAACCTGCAGGAAGCATTATAGTATTTAGGAAATCTCTTCCGAGTATGATCTTGTGAATGAACTCTGAGAAGTTTGGATCAGCAGCCTTCTGTTAAGGTAGATGAGGAAAATGCTGGTTTGTAATAACGTATGTTATTTTGATGAAAAAGTGACCTTTTTAAGTGCTCTAAGCTCTTCACTTGGAATCTTCCCGTCCAAATTGTTTTAGAATGTGCTCTACCTCTATTTTGTAACCTTGCTCTAGTTATTGTCATAGCTACAGTAGAAAACACGTGAGTAATGTGAAATGTGGAATTACAACTTCTGTACCTTGCATGTAACTTTATCAAGATAAAAGTAAGTTAAACAGTCTTAGAACTGAATTTATTGTAATGAGGGGAAAGCCAGCCTGGATCGTTTTCTTTCCATTTTTACTTAGAGCTGTTCATCTGTGTTTTTCTGGAGTACCTAAGATCTGAAGATGGCTGTGGTGTCAGTTATGCTGGTGTGATGACTTGATCAGCTGATGTGGTTTGTAATAATTTCATAGTGGCCCTTGATGCTTTAGGAAAAGAGAGAGGAGAGAAGAGAGGAAAAACAAACAAACTGCTTGTTGCTTTTGTGCCTCAGAACTGAGGCACTTAGTTTGCTTGAAATTCAAGTACTGCACATGTTAGCTCTGATATCCAGACTGAGCTATACTATTCCCTTTAGATCGAGTTAACATACAGCAAACACTCTAAGGTAACGGGCAGCCTTTTATTATGTTTAAAGGTTAAACCCAAAGTCTTTTAAAATTTCCCCAGGCTTAACTTTTACCACAGACTTGACTATTACGTTCAAATCTCTTGCGTGTTGGGCTTATTAAATAATTTCATTTGCTCGTGATCACATTTGCAGTGTGCACCTGGAGTTAAAATGGTGCTTTAGCTAGTACCTCAGGTATAACCAAAATACTTTGGGTGAAAGTTTTAAATACACTTTTTCATGCATTTAAACAGGTGCAGAATGTTTTTTTTATTGCCGTGGCATTTTGCACAATATTCCCACAACTGTAAGCTGCGAGTTGTAATTAACAGTGTTATGGCTGTCAGCAGGAGGCTTAAAATGCAGACTTCTTTTTGACACCAAAGTGCTTGAGGTCTGTCCCCATGTTGCAGTGGGGATTTGCACACATCTGCGTATGTGCATGTGATTCATGGCTTTCTCAGTGTATGACAGAAGAGCTTTCAAAAGCTGATTGCTTTGTGGTTTCACTAAAAGCTACAATTTTTAAAAAGCTGTAGCCTTCTCTGTCCCCCTTCTGCTACGCTTTTACTTAAAACCCAGAAGTGCATCTTTTACAATCTCCTATGAATACAAGGGAACAGAAATTTAAAGTGTTTGTTGGGTGCCCTCTAGATGCAGTAACTCATTTTCATGATTCAAACAGAAGTAGGGATAATATTGTAATTTGGCTTTCAGCAAAATTATACTCCTCTGTGGCAAGCAAAGGAAGTGTACTGGCATTTTAACTCCTCTTCCATACTTCTGCCTTAACATGACAATAATTTCTATGAAACTTCTGCAAGGTACAAAAGATTCTCTAGTTCATCTTTGCATTCTGAGTAATGAGGAAAGAAAGTATTTCAATTAAAAAAAATTAAAAAGTACAACTTCAGTTGAATAGGGTCCCTCAAGCCTGGTAATATTTCTAATCTGTTTAATCAGCCTCTCTAAACAAAGCTGCACCCTCTTGCTACGTTGCCYGCTGGATTGCACAAGCGACTGCGAGTCTGGTAACCCTGAGAACTCCCTGTCTCTCCCTGCAGGTTAATTCTAACCAAGAATATCTGAAATYATTTCCAGCGCGGCTACAGGAAGGTAGGCAGTTGAGAACTCCAATCTGTTTTTCCCTTAAAGTTTTGCAATGAAATGGAGGGTTTTAGTTCTCAAGCATTCTTTTTTATAAAAGACATCTCTCCTGCTTTGTTTTTCTGAGACATAAGTGCCAAGTCAGGCTGTGGGCAGGCAAACAGGGTATCCTGCCCCAGTCCTGGCACTGTTGTGGCTGGGGGAGCGGGGCAGGATTTGTTCCCTGACTCTGAGCACCCTGCCCCTTTGGAGAATTGTCTGTGACAGCTGTTGCTTGGAGCTTGAGTGCACTTCTGAGATGAAGTGACCTTTTTTTTTCTCTGAATAGACTTTATTCTGCGTGTACTTAGCTGTGTGTCCATAAGGCCTCTACCTTTCCAGGGGTTTTGCAAGATGAGTGTCCTCGTGCCTCCTGAGATGTGTGCATGGCTCTAGGTCAGTGAGCACCCCTGTCATACGTGCCATACATGCACTGCAGCTAGGGGACTCTCAGCCTCTTGCTGATGAATTTGCTGATACTTTTTTGGATGCAGACAAATTCTGCAGTCAGAGAGTTGTGTGCTCAGCAACCCTTCCTGCAGCTGCCCCAGGTGGCTGCACGCAGAGTCCAGTGCTCTGCSCAGAACCTGACGCTTATGTTGGGGGCAATCTTGGTGCTAGATTCCTCTACTCAGCAAGGGTGATGCTCTCATTGCAAATCTACTTGTCAATGCAAATCATCCTCACTCAGGTGAGGAGAGGTGGCAGCTTGCAGAGCTGGTTCCTCACTGTGGGGCTGAATGCTGGTGGCACTGCTGCCACCGCAAACTTTCTATGAAGTTCAAATAAAAGGGTGGTCTGGGTCTAATCACCTCAGAAGTGCACATGTGCARCTCTCCTGCAGCCTGATACTTGATCATGAGTCCTGTGCCAGTGTATTTGCTGCGGGCATATGGGGAATGGGCTTGTGTCCTAGGGGGGCATTCCCACATCAGAACGTGGCCTCCCCTCGCTGCAGCCGCAGACCTGCGGTGTGGATTTGCATCTGGCACATGGGTTTTGGACAGACACGTAGTATAAACAAGCTGTGCGGCGTGCTTGTGTCTGTGAAAACCAGCTGGGAGAGAAAGAGCAAAACCTCCACTGTACTCTGATTTCAGAAGACAAAAAATGAATTAAAGATGATCTTACCTTGCAAAAACCTCAGGACGACAGTGGAACTAGTGAGACAGGAGCTGGATGAACGTGGTGCATCTGAAGCCTACCGTGAAATCAAAAACATGATTTCAAGGGGTAACAGTTCCCTGGGTGGCCTTCTGGATACACTAGCTGATTCTTCTAATGGATGTTGATGGGGTGAATTTTTTTTTTCTTTTTTCTTTTTCCTTTAAAATGTAACCCTGACTTCCAGAATGAGGGGATATTTCAGGAAAGAAACAATAACAACAAAAAAAAAAAGGCAGTGGGCTGCACAGCCTGTGTGTGTGTTTCCATAGTGTCTGGATAGTGAGGTTCTCTTTCCCCCAAGAAGAGCGGACTTGGCCTTTTGTCTGTTAACTGACTGAACTTGAAAACCTCTCCTAGGGCKCTAGTACTGGGGCTGCCTGGTGTGTTTAACTGCATCTTTTCTGACAAGGTACAGAGAGAGCCTTGAGGTGAGTTTTGAAAGAACAGGGAGCTGGATTCTGCAGCCTTCTGCAAGCTTGAAGATTGTTTTATGCTACGTGTGAGGATCGTTCTGGACTCTCACTCACTAAGGTCCTGTTCTGGGCTTGATTCGCTCAAAGGTAGCGAGTTCCAGAGCAAGAGAGGATGGGAGCTGAGTGTCCCTGCAAGCTTTAAAGAGCAGAGGCAGCTCTGTGAGCTCTTGGGTTCCCTGCTGGTTTGCCAGCAGAGGTCACTGCTCGAAGCGGATTCGGGGAGCGCAGGGGCTGCTGCCCTCTCTGATGCTGAAGGTTTAACTGAAGGAGGTACCCGCAGCAGGCAGGGCTGGGAGAGGCTGCATCAGCACCASCAGATCGTCCCAGGAAGGGCAGGACGAGCCCTGCAGCTGGACGCTGCTGGCAGGAGTGGCACATCCCAAGTATCCTTGGGTTTCTGGATGCTCCTCATGCACCATGGCTATTTGCAAGGCTCATTTTCCTCACCCTATTTGGGACATGAAGAGTTGAATTTAGCTGAGGGAACTCAAACTGTGCCCTAATACATACAGTGATGGGAAGTGCTACATGACCTGCWGCAAGAGGAGGAAGGAAAAATAAAGGCCCAGGCTTTCTTAGGTCTAGGTTTAGCACCCAAGCTGAACGATTGCTTTTAGCTCCCGAGCCTCTGTTATTAAGTGGGGCTTAGCCTACCCCCACCTCCCCCACCTCAGCAGCACCTACTTAAGGAAGCAACTGGCTTCTGTCTGCAAATTACTAGGCTTCTGTAGTGATAAACACTATGGAAATGCCCTGGAGAAAGTGAATAATTCAGTATTCTGTTCCTGGTTTGGCTGGGGTGAACTAAATACGTTCACTGTGTGGTCCAGACACTATGCCAATGAAGGGGAAGCAGAAGAGCGACTAGCTGCTCATAGAGCAATTGCCATCTTCAGTGCATTGGATATATGGATCCCCAGGCAAAATGACTGTGGGGCCATGTAATAAAGTGAGTGTTACAACTCATTTATACTGGGTGTGAAGTGAGGTTGCAGCAGCAGTTCTAGTTCTGACATGTCCTGTGCGCCGAGGATTGGATTTTAAATGCAGGATGTTCCTCCCAACTTGTGCTGGCCTGTTTTTTTGTTTGTTTTAGGGCTTATGTTTATTTTACTGCCTGTGTCCTGTATGCACAGTGTAAGAGATTACTCTATTTATGGACTCATACAAATAAGCAATGGAGGAGTGTTTGAGGAGCCGACTGCAGGTGTAAAAYGCAGCCTCCTGAGCAGAGGCTGGTGGAGACCTTCTATAGAGCTCCTCCTGGGAGTCCTCTAGAATAAACTGCCAAATAACTGGGCAMCGAGGAAGGAGAGAAATATGTGCAGTTTTTAGAGATAATGGTGATTTCCTGCAGCCTCTATACAGAGGTAGATTAAACATTACTGTCACATTTCCCCCAAATATGCTAGCTATTGAAGAGGGACTTGTTTTTAGAAGATAAGTTACACTGATCTGAGGAACTTCTAACTACAAGCAATATAAACAAATCTCTTAAGTTATGAGGGAACAGCTGAGTACGTCCCTAGATAACRTGTGGTCAGTTTGACCCTGCTGTCTTAATTTAGGAGGTCATTTTAAAACCACTATAAAGGAGGGCTTTGTGCTGCCTTTAAGGGATATGGGCAATCTCTAAGAAATAGGCGGGTTTACAGAGACAAAACCTCTGGCTGAGTTTTTGTTGTTTCGTTTTTACTATCTGTGTTGCAGTAAATTAAAACAAAAACAAGTCGGGACTTGGCATGCTGTTGTAAATAAACTGCTGTGTGTGAATCGACAGCTCGTTTGCGGCCAGGTTATTTATGATGAAGCTTTTTTCACTTTTCCCACCACAGAGGTTGTTTTGCTCTATATGAGCAGAGTGCCTATGGTAACACCTCCCACCTCAGTCTATACTGAAGCAGTTACACAAAGGCCTCACAATTTTAGCTGTTTCCCTTTAAAAGAAAACAAATCAAGCAAAAGTTTGTTTTTGTTCAGTGCATGAACTGGAGACGAATGCTTCAACTCTGCTTGTTTGCTCTGCACAACTTACCTTCCGTGTATCCGTTCTGCCTCGTTCCTCTGCTTCCTCAGAACTACTCAGGGAAAGGGAGTTCTCAGCTTCTTAAAGAGTTTCTCCAAGATCCAGTTTGTGACAAGCACTGTTGAGGCCAGTTACAACTGTCTGGTCCTGTGAAGGTAAGGAACACGCTTTAAAGACTGGATTTGGTTAATTCATGCCCTTTCCACTTAATATCTTGCCCCTCCTTATTTCCCTTGCTTTTTACAGATGATCTCTCGTTGTTATCCTGTGTACTCAGCTCCCAGGCAGCAGCAGCTCAACCCAAGGCAGCTATTACTCTGTTTTTGCAACAGTCATCGCAGGGATTCACACTCTGCAGTGCAGAGATGCTGCAATAGCACCTGYACACCCCGAGGAAACCCACAGCAAGCCAATGACCTGATCTTAGGTGATGAGGTACCAAAACTGTGTAAACATGGGTGTTCTCCTCACTGCCCCATGCGAGTTTTGAGTTGGGTCTCATGCACGGCTCCTGTGAGGTAGGATTTCACCCCAGTCTGAGTTAGCATTTAGGCTACTATCCTTTTCTTCCTTCTTCAAGCACTTAATAGTAATTAATGGGCAGGTGGGCAAGTGTGTAGTCATTTACCATCTATGCCCTGTCCACTTGACCTAGAGAAAGGATATTCAGGCAAACAGTTGTGTTCTCTTGGATGGTACTTATCCCAAATTGTTATCTCTTGTTATCTCATCTTCTATAACTGACTCAGAGTGAAACAACTCCCATGGACTTGCTTTAGGGGCTGAGAATGTCCTATCTRCCTTAACCTTAGCCTGCCTTAACCAGCAGGTCTGCTGCCAGTGATCTTCGTTAACAGGGAGATGAGCCAGTCCTGTGACCACTGCCTTCATCATCTAGGAATGTCAAACAACAAGGCAAATAAGGAGAATTCTCCTCACTACCCTCCAAACCCCTACTTTGCTGTCAGTGGGGAGAGAGGTTAATGACTGATTTTCACATGAGGAACAAGGAGGGGAGACAGCYGTCCAGCTCACGGATGCAGTGACAACGTTGGGCAAAACAGTATTTACTGCACCAGTCGKGTGTTCAGCAAAGTCATGGTGACCCAGTGCATAAAACAGTCTTAGCAGCAACGATTGCACTTGCTTGGCCTTTGTTCCAGAGCTGAAACGTGATGTCTTCTCATTCAGCAGGGAGGCAAAGAGAACTGCTTAACTCTTTCAACAGGCGGTTGTCTGTCCCAGCCAGGCCTGCAGCCAAGTTGTTGCTTGGAAGAGCTCTGGGTGTCAAGTGTCTGTTGRGCACAGGCAGGTCCAAAAGAGGATGTCCAGACCTGCCATGTGCCTTGCTCGAAAGCTGAGGAAATCACGGTGTGAGAGAAGGTTTCAGTTCCTTGGACCTAGTTTCCTCACAGAGTCGAAACTAGGTCCTAGAGTCCTAGGAAAGTCTAGGAGCTTTGCTAGAGTTGAAGGAAATTGCGTACCTGCAGCTGGAGGTATTTTGAGTTCTCCTTGTGCTATCTGTCAAGGAGACATTTACCTTGCTGGGAAGTCCTTGCCCAAGCTCTACATGCTGCTGAAGTAAAGATCTGATTGCAGGTGCTTCGTAAGAGGAAGGAGCAGTAGGAGAAATGCTGGTGCTATGCAGTATGAGCTGAGCAGTGGTGCCAGCCCCAGCAGGACTGGACCCAAACTGCTGGCAGTGCAGCGTGTGCTTGCGTGGCTGGGGCTGCATCCCCGCTCACGTGCGCCAAGGAGGTTGTMGTGATCAAGGGATTCAACCATGAAAGCAAACCCCTCTGGGAGCTTATAAAATGTATCTGGTGTTGCTTGTTTTCTAGGAAAAATGCTTCACTTCAGATTCTCATTGGGACTGGTATGATGCCCCTGAAACCAGAGCAGCTGCAAAACGTGCTCAGGCTCTGGCTGTGTGTTTCAGACCCACCTCGGTCCCTCCTTTGCTGGGACATCTCCCTGGTTACGCTGCCTTCTCTGGCAGTATTTCCCAGCAAGTTTTACTGCCTCTCCCCACGTCACTGAGGTTAGACCGTTACTGCAGTGTCTGTGTGCTTTAAATTACTGTCATTTCTGGCAGCGCTGCCAGGTGCTGCTGGCGATTCTGAAGGCGAGAGGATCACAGCAGTGGCCCAAAGAAGTTGTGTCCTCGTGTCCTRGCCCTGGCTTTGCCTCGTGCTAAGGCTCTCAGGCTTGTCCCTTAGCTCTGAGGGGAACAGAAACGGTTTCCCCGTGTCTTGTTTTACACTTGTGCAAAGTGGGGGTGAATCCGCTCTGAGGCTAGCCCTGAGGTGGCACCTGTGCCCCGCGGCACCGGGACACAGACCCGTCCCCACTGCAGAGCTGCGCCTCTCGGCTCGGCCTGGGGGAGATCCTGGCTCCTAGACCCGGCTCCTAGACTCGGTTCCATCCGGGCCGGCCGGGAGAGCCCGCGCCGGGCACCTGTGCGCGGGGCCGGGCCGTGGCGCCCGCCGCAGAGCCGCTGCCGGAGCCCCGCGGGGCGGCCCG